CAGAAAACAAAAACTAAAAGCGTTTGTGACCGCTAAACCAGCCCTGCAAGAAATATTAGAGGGGACTCTCTGAGTGGGAAAGAAAGACCAAAAGCAACAAACACTAGAACAGAGAAAATCTCCAGAAACACCAACTTCACAGGTAATACAATGGCACTAAATTCACATCTATCAATAATCACTCTAAATATAACTGGACTAAATGCTCCAATCAGACATAGGGTATCAGAATGCATAAAAAAAATAAGACCCATCTATATGCTGCATACAAGAGACTCATTTTAGACCTAAAGACACCTGCAGATTGAAAGTGAGGGGATGGAAAACCATCTGTCCTGCTAATGGACATCAAAAAAAAAAGCCGGAGTAGTCATACTTATGTCAGACAAACTAGATTTTAAACCAAAGACTATAACAAGAGATGAAGGGCACTGTATCATAATAAAAGGGTGTATCCAACAAGAAGATCTAACGATTGTAAATATTTATGCACCCAACCTGGGAGCAGCCAAATATATAAATCAATTAATTATAAGCGTAAGGAAACTCATTGATAATAATGCAATAATAGGGGACTTTAACACCCCACTTACAGCAATGGGTAGATCATCTAAGCAGAAAATCAGCAGGAAACAATGGCTTTGGATGACACAGTGGACCAGTTGTACCTTACAGATATATTCAGAACATTTCATCCTGAAACAGCAGAATACACATGCTTTTTGCATGCACATGGAACATTCTCTAGAATAGATCACATACTGGGTCACAAATCAGGCCTCAACAAGTTCAAAAAGTGAGATCAAATCATGCATACTTTCCAATCACAACGCTATGAAACTTGAAGACAACCACAAGAAAAAATTTGGAAGGACCACAAGTACATGAAGGTTAAAGAACATCCTACTAAATAATGAATGGATTAACCAGAAAATTAAAGAAGAAATAAAAAAAATACATGGAAACAAATGAAAATGAAAACATGATGGTCCAAAATCCTTGGGATGCAGCGAAAGTGATCATAAGAGAGAAGTATATAGCAATACAGGCCCACCTCAAGAAGCAAGAAAAGTCTCAAAGGGGAGCAGAATATACCACCCTTAAAATCTGTCACTTTGGCATGTGAATTATTTTGAGTTGAAGGCAATCAAGATCCAGCAGACTCAGGAAACACTTTTTCCCTCCCTCTCAACTGCCTGAAAGAAATTAGAAAGGAGGATTGTACCAGGAGGATAGCAGGGATACACATAGTATAACTTTTTTATATTTGAGACTTATCTGCATGGCAGAGCAAATATTAAACAAATATTAAACTAAACATTTGCTCTTTTTACTTCCTGGTGAATTGCTTTCCCACCCCTTTGAAGCCCCAGACCCTGTTTCTTTCCTTAGCTCAGGATGGTTTATGAGCCTCAGTTGCTTGGCTGCCTTTGGGTCTCACATCTTTGTGGGGCCCCCTTAAGAAATGAAAATTTTCTACTGTTAATCTGTCTTTATTACAGGGGGGCTCTTAGCTAAGAACCTGGAAGGGTAGAGGGAAAATTATTTTTTCTCCCCTACAGTTTTATGGAATAAAAGGTAATCGGAATAAGATCTTCCACAATACTGACAGAAGGTATGAAAGGGTCTAGAGGAGGAGTAGGAGGGTCAGACCACAAGTGGGTCAGTAGGAACTTGGAAGAAAATCTGAGAAGCCAGGCACTTCCAACTGGTAGAGTCGGACTGTGAAAGAGAAGGTGATAGTGAAGTCTGGGGGAAGGCTTTGTCTGCTTGTGGACTTGGTATCCCTTTTGGTCTGGTTTCTTTTGTGATTTTTGTGTATAGTTTTCTTTTACCACTTTTTTTTTTTTTTGTACCAATAAGGTAAGAAAACAAGTCCTATAGCTTAGTACTTTTTTTTTAACAGATTAAAAAATAGACTTATTGTTATTTCTAAAAGTCAGAACTTAGAGGATGAATAAACACAACAGATGTATAAGAACATAAGTAGAAACACTGTTTTACAACAGTGTGTACTGAAACACATTTATGTACTGGAAACTATGAAAAATAGCTCTCTTTAAATGATTTAACATTTGCTCTTCCTTATATACAGTTGAATTTCCAGTGGGAGAACAAATATGCTCATGGCTTTCTGGGCCTTCCTTCATGAAGGCAGTTGACTCCATTCATTCAAAAATTAAAAGATTTAATTACTATGTGTATACTTTGTATATACTGTGTATATACTTTTGGTATGTATATTTTGCTTATCTACAGAATCTAAATAATTTTAGAAATCTTTGTTGGAAGTACCTAGTAATCCATTTGATGAGTTACCATTGTGTGAAAGATTTGCATCGATGTACAGGCATATATCATATTATTGTGTTTTGCAGATACTGTGTTTTTTACAAATTGAAGGTTTGTGGCAACCCTGCATCAGTAGAGCAAATCTATTGATGCTATTTTTCCAACAGCATTTGCTCACTCTGTGTCTCTGTGTCACATTTTGGTAGTTCTCACAGTATTTCACATTTTTTCACTATTGTTTTGGTGAACAATGATCAGTGATCTTTGATGTGACTGTTGTAATTGTTTTGGAGGCACCATGAACTGTGCCCGTATAAGATAGTGAACTTAATCAATAAATGTGTCTGTTCTGACTGCTCCATTGATCTCCTGTTCTTTCATCTCCCCCTCCGTAGGCCTTCCTATTCCCTGAGATACAACTGCATTGAAATTAGGTCAATTAATAATCCCACTGTGGCCTCCAAGTGAAAGGAAGAGTCACATGCCTCACACTTTAAATCAAAAGCTAGACATGATGTGAGTGAGGAAGTGAGGAAGGCATGGCAAAAGCCAAGATAGGTCAAAAGCTGGGCCTCTTGCACCAGTTAGTCAAGTTGTGAATGCAAAGGAAAAGTTCTTGAAGGAAATTAAAAGTGCTACTCCAGTGAACACATGAGTAAGAAAGTGAAATAGTCTTTCGCTGATACGGAGAAAGTTTTAGTTGGGATAGATCAAATCAGCTACAATATTTTTTTAATCCAAGCCTAATCCAGAATAAGGCCCTCTCTTCAATTCTGTGAAGGCTGAGAGAAGTGAGGAACCTGCAGAAGAAAAGTTTGACGCTAGCAGAAGTTAGTAACATGAGGTTTAAAGAAAGGAGCCATCTCCATAATGTAAAAATGCAAGGTGAAGCAGCAAATGCTGATGTCTAAGATGCAGCTAGTTATCCAGAAGGTCTAGCTAAGATAGTGAAGGTGACTACACTAAACAAGATCTTCAGTATAGTTGAAACAGGCTTCTATTGGAAGAAGATGCCATCTAGGCTTGCATAGCTAGAAAGGAGAAGTCAGTGGCTGGCTTCAGAGCTTCAAAGGACAGGCTGACTTTCTTGATAGGGGTTAATGCAGCTACTGACTTTAAGTTAAAGCCAATGCTCATTGACCATTCTGAAAATCCTAGGGCCCTTAAGAATTATGCTAGATCTGCTTTGCTTTATAAATGGAACAACAAAGCCTGGATGACAGCGTATCTGTTTACAACATGATTTACTGAAACTTTTAAGCCTATTGTTGAAGCCTACTGCTCAGAAAAGAAGATGCCTTTCAAAATACTGCTAGTTGACAATGCACCTGGTCAGCCAAGAGCTCTCGTGGAGCTTGCTCACACAGCATCTGTTCTGCAGCCCTGGGTCAAGGAGCAATTTTGATTTTCAGTCTTACTATTTAAGAAATGTATCTCATAAGGCTATAGCTGCTATAGAGAGTGATTTCTTTGATGGATCTAGGCAAAGTAAATTGAAAACCTTCTGGAGAGGATTCATCATTCTAGATGCCATTAAGAACATTCATGATTCATGGGAAGAGGTCAAAATATCAGCATTCACAGGAGTTTGGAAGAAGTTGATTCCAATCCTCATGGATGACTGAGGGGTTCAAGACTTTAGTGGAGGAAATAACTGCAGAAATGGTGGAAATAGCAAGAGAACTGGATTTAGAAGTAGACCTGAAGATGTGACTGAATTTCTGGCAACTTCATGATAATTTCATTTAATGAATGAGAAGTTGCTTCTTAGGGATGAACAAGGAAAGGGGTTTCTTGAGATGGAATCTACTTGTGAAGATGCTGTGAAAATTGTTGGAATGACAACAAAGGATCTAGACTGTTACATAAACCTAGTAGATAAAGGAGCAGCAGGGTTTGAGAGGATTTTGGAAGTTCTACTGTGGGTACAATGCTATCAGACAGCATTGCATGCTACAGAGAAATTGTGAAAGGAAGAGTCAACCAATACAGCAAACTTGACTGTTGTCTTATTTTAAGAAATTACCACAGCCACCCCAACCTTCAGTACCTTCCACCCTGATCAGTCCGCAAACACCAACATTGAGGCAAGACTCTCCACCAGCAAAAAGAATCTGACTCACTGAAAGTGTAGATGATGGTTAGCATTTATTAGCAATAAATTACTTTTTTTCTTTTCAGAATGTCAGCTTTATTCAGTCATAAAGCAAGGTTGACATAATTATCAAGCAGGTTCTGACTTCCAAAATTGATGATATTTTACTGCATGTTTAACTTGGCTGCTTCTTCAGTGTGGCCTCTTCTCTCCTTTTAGTTGTGGAGTTTGTTCTCTCAGTCTTCAGGTTGATTTCTGGGGTCTTTAGAATGATTTGATTATTATCTAGTTGTGTTTGTGGGACAAGATGAGCCTAGGGATCCTCCTACTCCATCATCTTCCTCTCAATAAGTTACTTTTTAATTAATATATGTACATTGTTTTTCCAGACATGCTATTCCATACTTAATAGACTACAGTATAGCATAAAAGTAACTATGTGCATTGGGAAAACAAAACAAAAATCATTTGACTTTATTGCAACATTTCCTTTATTGTGGTTGTCTGGAACTGAACCCACAGTATCTCTGAGGTGTACCTGTATGTGGTTTGATGTTGGCTTGTGACACAACCTTAATGCATTTTATCCTAAAGCTTTTCTTTTTTTACACAGAGAATGTCTAAGCACACGGAGGCAGCAGAAGTACTATTGGAAAGAAAAGGTTGTGCAGGAGTGATAACACTAAACAGACCAAAGTTCCTAAATGCACTGAATGTTAGTATGATTCGGCACATTTATCCACAGCTGAAGGTTTGTAATTTCCCTAAAGAAATTATATGGATCCTTTTAGAAGTGTATCTCAATAGAACATTTCTGGTATTCTCTTCCATAGAATATCTGGGATCAGCACCCAAGCCCTGTTGATTTCTTGTCTTCCGTGCTTTCCCTGTGTGATTATCCTGGAGCCTCCCTAGTGACAGGGAGTTCATGGCTTCCTGAGATAGCCCCTTCCACTTTTACATAGCTCCACATTTCTTTTCTGTGTTTTGCCACTGTACTTCTCTGACCTTTTAACCAGTGGTACTAGTTCTGCCTCTTGGGATGTGAGTATACAAATCCAATCTTCTTACATGTGACAGCTTTTTTTTTTAAGATTTTATTTGAGACAGAGTAGGAGAGTGCTCACAAGCAGTGGGGAGAGGGAGAAGGAGAAGCAGACTCCTCGCTGAGCAAGGAGTCCATTGTGGGATTTGATCCCAGGACCCTGAGATCAGGACCTGAGCCAAACGCAGATGCTTAACTGACTGAGCCACCCAGGCGTCCTGATCGTCCCCATGTGACAGCTTTTTGACAGCTGTTTTTGAACTGCTTGGCCAGCCCATCTTAGAGAAGGCTATAAGCTTTTCTATTCTAAGTGAACTACATGGTGCAGTGGAAAAGCATGACTTACAGTCCGACTACTTTATTTAAAACTTGGATTTCTTTTTATTAACTGTGTAGTTTGGCAGTGTTAATCTCTCTGTTCGTCATTTTCCTCAGCTGTGAAATGGGGATGATTATATCGAACAGGACTGTTGTGGAGATGAAGTGAAATAGTATACCTCACATGGTCAGCCACAAAGACTAACTCTCCCCTGGTTACCAGTTCCTTAATTTTCATTTGATGAGTCTCTCTTCCATACTGTTGTGTCTGTTTGGGACACCATATAATATGTCTTTAAATGTAATAAAGAGAAATAAGCCAAGTGTTTCAGATTGGAATTAGACCGTATAGTGGAGGAAAGTAGAAACTTCCATGTTAGAATGCCATATTTCTGTTAATGTAGTCCAATATTGCATTAGCCTTTTGGACAGCCATATCTGTCCAGCTACATCTCTTCCAAGTAGGTTTATATTTCTATTCGCAAGTGTAGAATTTATAGAGCTCCTGTTGATTTTTTAGTCTGTTGTTGTCTTTTGAATTTCCATTGGGTCTCTTGACTCTTTCACCCTACTTATTTATTAGCTGTCCTTAACCAACCTCAAATCACTTCAAGATTTGATCAGTATAAGTGGTTTCACTCGATTGCTTATAAATTTGTCAGTAGGACAGAGCCCTGTATCACCGCAATAGAAAGGTTCTTGCTCTGTTTTTTCACCAGATATATAAGCTTCTGTAACATATTTTTAAGCCCATATTTTTTTCATTTTGGTCTCAAAGTTGTCATGGCAAAGATTTCAGATGCCATCATGCAATTTGGATCACAAGATGTATTCATCTAGCAACTTGTTGAGATAGTGTCTAATTTATGTCAGAAAAGAAAATGAAGTTGGGATCCATTCTTCTGGATGTACTTTATAAAGCTGGTACTTTATATGTATTGATACATATCTATCTATATAGATGTATATATGTACATATGTATGCATATATATGCATATAGATTTTTTTTGTAGTTAGTATTTATAATATGCTTTTACCATCTTTTACTTTTTCTTTTGGATAGAATTGGGAACAAGATCCTGAAACTTTCCTGATCATTATAAAAGGAGCTGGTGGAAAGGCTTTCTGTGCTGGGGGTGATATCAGAGGTAAAAACTACCCCCCCAACCTAAATGTTTCCCTCCCTCCAATAGACTGATTAATAGGAAATTTTTGTAATACTTTGTAATTTGCTTTACATCTAAGAATTTTTTTTTTGTTATAATGACTTAGCCATTGTAGTTAAATATTAGAAAAATGAGAATAGCTTTTTTTTTTTTAAACTACATATGTGCCCTTCATATATCCTGTCTTTCTCCCTGAATCATCCTAAACAAAATGTCCTGTTATGTGAGTCCACTTTTTATTTTAGGTTAGCTGATGTTCAGTTTAATTTGTCCTATAACCTGACAATCTGGCCATGTTGAGTGACTTGTCATTCTCCAGATATGACATTCCTTCACATGTTTCCTTGACTGTGCCTGTGCTTTCCCCCAGTGCATGATCCCAAAGCAAGAATGTACTTAATTATAGAATTCATCCTGTTGTTAATATATTTTTACAGGTGTTTAAGTAAACATGCCGAGATGGGATAAAAATAAAAATAATAAAATAATAAAATAAAATAAAAATAATTTTATATTTTTTTTATAAAAATATTTTCTTTTCTTTAGGTCAATCTGTATACATTTAACTATTAAAGACAAAAGAGAGAAGAAATATTTGGTCTCAGGATCAAAGTCATGTACCTCTCACCACTGGTTGTCAGTATTTTATATATACTGAAAACTGTTTTTGCATTTTGTATTTTGTTTGTTATGGAACTGATTAGAGTCCAGGGATGGCTTTTTCTTTTTTTTTTTTTGTATTTGTATGTGTGTATATATGTGTATGTGTATATCTATATATCTCTATACACGTATATATAAATATATATATATTTTTGTATTGTGTTAAAGGCAGTATGGTTTGGATTGATCTATTTTCCAAATTTACAAGTTTACATAAACCATTATATTTGGAATGGGAAGAAACAAGCTTGATTTAGGACGTAATTTCAGATACCTATTAAATTTAAAGTAACTGAATTTTAATGTTTTAATTCTATCAATTTTTATTCTATTTTTAATTCTTAAATTTTTTAATTGCTTAGATTTGTTAACCGAATTGTGTTTGGATTTGTTTTGCCCACAACATGAATATTTTTAAAATATTGTTTTCCAGCATGAAGCTAACCTTTCTTCTGGAGTTGGGTCTGTGATCTTGTCAGTTTACGGATGGGCAGAGCCTTATGTATTGTTTTTAGCTTCTTCTGTGAGCTATTTTTGCATATAGGTGTAACTTTGTATTGATGTTTGGAAATACAGTTACAAATTACAGATTTATTTTAGTTAATGTGTATAAAGCAGTGGTCTTCAATTCCAGGAAATTTAGTTGCTTTAAAGATCATAGTCCAAGATGATAAACGGGCACTCAGAAAAAAATTTTTTAAATGTGATTATGAATGTAATTTATTTTAACTTCTGTGGAATTAATTGATTAGAATAAAAGTAAATCAAAGAAGATTTTTGAGGTAAAAGAGCTTCATTCCATAGGCATTATAATTTGCACTCTTGTCCTTTTAGAATTGCTAAGTAGTGGTAAGGACTGAATAAGAAACAATAGATGAGGGTTTGGGGGTGTACATATATCAGTGAAATCCCCAGAAGGACAAAAATAGACACCAAATCTTTCTTTTAAAATCCAGGAAAAGAAGTGAACATTTGGAACATTTTGAAGGCGGATATATCAGACTTCTAAAATCAGTCTAAAAATCTGTAGTCAATAATTTTTATGTAACTATTTCCCATAGAAGAAGAAATATGTTTATATTTTAATTTGTATTTTAATAGATAATTCTCCTAAGATTTAAAGACAGGAAGGATATGAGCTTGCAGTGTATGGAAGAGAATGGTTTGATAGTAGTCATACCATTGACTGGAATAGGAATACAGTAGATGCTCAATAAATGTTTTATGGTGAAATGAATGTGGCAGAAATACTTGACTAGATGGAATATATTGTAGAGCTGGGAGTGTATGTACACACATGCACACATGTACTTATATTTTTCTGTATGTATAATGTGCTTTGTGTTAAGCCATATTACCACTGAAATGTATATCCAGCAAATGTTTATTCAAGTGCTACAGAAAAGAGTCAAAATGGATTTTGTAGCAATATATAAGTTCTAAATGAGGTATAACACTTTTTAAGAAGTCCTTAAGAATTTTTGCCTTGAAGTTTTGACAATGGACCATGGATCTAGGGCTAACTGTGTCTGTGGCATGGACACTTCAAAACTTTAACAAACCATTCTAGAGTTTCCCCAGGACTTAATATCACAATATTTTAAATTTATTCTCTTTGTATTAACTAGAAAGCACTTTTTTTAAAAAAGATTTTATTTTTAAGTAATCTGTATACCCATCATGGAGCTTGAACTCACAACTCTGAGATTAAGAGCTGGCATGCTCTACCAACTGAGCCAGTTAGGCGCCCCACTAGAAAGCACTTTTTAAAATATTTGTAATCTTTCCTTCTTCCCCTTCCTTCCTTCCTTTTTTTTTTTCTTGTAGCGATCTCTGAAGCTGGAAAGGCAAACCAGAAGATAGCTCAAGATTTCTTTAGAGAAGAATATATGCTGAACAATGCCATTGGTACGTGTGTTCCACTGAGAGCTTTGAAAATGGAATCAAGAAATAAGCTGCACAATATTAGTTGTTAAAAATATCAGACACTCTTATTTACTCTTTTATGTACTATATGTCAGGCATAAATAAAGCTGATTATTCGGCTCATTCCAGGACAATTCACACTTTAATATTAGTAAGCTATACTTAATTACTATTTGTCCTACAATCAATATGAAAACATGGATTCTGATCATACAACTGGCTTTCTTGGAAAACAGAAAACTTGGGTCTCAGTTTTCTATGTAAAATGAAATACCATTTCTTAATTCTTGAGGAACTCTGGGATGAAAGTGTCTTCATAGTGATGTTCCAGATTTCACTGGAAGTGAAGCAGTACTTTTTATCAAACGTGTTTCAAATGTTAAATTGCAGGGAATAAGATAATAAATAGTTATGTTCCCACCAGCCAGGATGAACAGACATTAATATTTTATTTTTGCTTGATGTTTTAAGATTTATTTGAAAGAAATATAATACTACAGGTTTTAAACTTCAGTACACTTTGTTGCTTTCCTCAGTGCCATTTTTTTTCTCTCCCCAGAAGCAACCATTATCTCTCCTTAAGAAGTAACCATTGTCATTAATTTTTAGGGTATCTTACTAGACCATACTTAGTATTTTTGCTACATATTTAGATTTTCTTCTCATCCTTTGTTCATCTTTCTGTTGGATTGTTTGTCTTTTTCTTATTGATGGTATAGGTCTTTATATATTCTGGATTCCTCACTTTTGTAGATTATATGTACTATAAGAACACTTCTCTTTGCTACTTTAAGTTATCTTTTGGTATATACACGTTCTTATTTGATGAGTTGAAATGTATCCATTGTTTTCCTATATGATTTCTGCTTTTTTGCATTTAAAAAAACCCACGTAGTAACACTGAGGTTATTAAGATGTTCTCATATTTTCTTTTAATAGCTTCGATATTTTGCTTCTTTATACTCTAAGTCTTTAATGTACTTGGAATTGTTTTTTGCATGTGACATCATTTAACTTTTATTTTTCAGCTAGAAAGCCAGATGTTGTAATGCCTTTTATTATAACGTTCATGCCTTTTTCACTGATTTTAATGATACCTCTGTCATATATCAAGTTCTTATATGCGACTTGGTCTGTTTCTGGGCTACTTTGTTCACTGGTCTGTTTGTACTTAATGATGAAACTACAATGTCTCCCTTACTACAGCTTTAAGATATGTTTCTATCTGGCAGTATAAGTTGCTCTTGTTTTCTTTTGGAATTGTCTTGGCTGCTCTTGGGCTTTTGATCTTCCATATGAGTTTTAGAATTATTTTTTGAGGCTCCACAGAAGATTCCATTGAGGTTTTGATTGGAATGACAATTATAGATTAATTTAGGGTGAATTGACATCTTTCATATTGAGTCTTCCTATCTATGCATGTGGCATATCTCTTTATTTATGCAGACTTAAAAACTTGCAGAATCATAATTTACATACCATAAAACTCACCCATTTCAAATATATAATTCAATAACTTTTAGTAAACTTGTGTAACTATCACCCTAAACCAGTTTGGAACTTTTAATCAGATTTGAGTTTGTATGTCCTTTAATAATGTTTTGTAACTTTATCCATAAAGATGTTGCTGCCTTTTTTTTTAAGTTTTATTCTAAGGTAGCTTACTTTTTTTATTAGAACATTTAATGGTAATTTTACTGTTACATTTTGTAATTTACTGTTTTTGGCATATTGAAGTGCTTTGGATTTTAGAGTTTGTTCTTCTATCCTGCAACCCTGCTGAAATTTGTTATTCTAATGATATTTCTGTAGATTCTCTTGGCTTTTCTACATAGGCAATTATACCATCTGCACATAATTTTTTTCACTTCTGTCTCTCCAGTCTTTATATTATGACTTTTCTTATATTTTGTCTGGGACCTCCATTGTAATGTTGAATGATTATATGTTGTCTTATTTCTGATGTCCATAGGAAAGCTTTTAAACTTTCAATTTTTAGTATAATCATTTTGTAGGCACATTTTTACCAAGTTACAGATACTACTTCTATTACAAATTTGTTAGGGGAGTTTTTTTGTTCTGTGGTAGTGGTGGTGCTTATTATCTGCTTGAGCATCCACTTTCTTTGGCTTTTTCTCTCCCTTTCTTGGAAGGAATTTATTCACTTCCTGGCTCAGCAGATGGTTTTTCTAATCATGTTTTGTGAATGTAATAGTTCCCTAGGATGAACTTTTATGCAGGTAGTCCATTTCGTAAGTTATGTGGGCCAGAATTTATTTCTGACTCAAATCAAATACACGTTCACTCACAGTCACTGGCTGTAGCTTCACTCAGCTATTGATTTTGAGTTTATTCTGGCACTGGTGGATTTCCTTTGTTTGGCTTTGAACTTGGATGTACATTTAAAAAAATTTTTTTTTCATAGAATTACTATGTATTTGAAGTAGGCATGGGAAAAAAGGCTACTTCTTGATTTAGCTCAGTGAGCCAGATTGAATGGATATCTCTCACTTCTTTAAGTCTAAAATTCTCCGTATCAGGTTTACTTAGAGTGGCTTATTCATGTGGCTAATGAGAACTTGAAATGGGGCTAGTGTGAGCAAGAAATTTAATTTCAATAGCTACATTTGTCTAGTGGCTACTACATTAGTGTAGTTCTATACTAAATAAAAGGAGATGGGAGAAAACCTCTAAGGAGTTTAAAGAGTTTGGTTAAATATTAATATACAGAGAGAAAGCCTTCAAGGTTTAATTTCTATACATTGTAATGATATATTGTGTTTAATAAGGAATTTGACAGATTCTGGCTTTATTCCCTGCATCAGTTAGCTTCTAATATTTTATATCTGAGATATATATATATATATCTATAGCTGAAATGGGGTGTGTGTATGTATCTCCATCCCAATCAATAGAGAAATTTCTTTTCATAGTTTCTAGGGAATTATAGTTTCCTAGGGAATTACAGTTCAAGATTGAAGGGAATTATAGTTCAAGATTGAAGGCTATAGACGTTGCAAACTGGCAAATATGAGTGAAGCTCATTCTAGAATTGTGACTTGATGGCTCATTTGGCAAGCTGGAAATACAGAACTGCTAGATGGATTGAAACTGCAGTTTTATCCTTCCACATTGCATGGAATATTACTCAGCCATAAAAAAGAATGAGATCTTGCCATTTGTGACAACACGGGATGTATCTAGAGGGTATTATGGTAAGTGAAATGAATCAGAGAAAGACATACCATATGATTTCACTTATATGTGGAATCTAAAAAACAAATGAATAAACAGACAGCAGAAAACAGACCTGTAAATACAGAGAACAAACTGATGGTTGCCGGAGGGGAGGGAAGTGGAGGGATAGGTAAAATGGATGAAGGGGGGAGTGAGCAATACAGTCTTCCAGTTATGGAATGAGTAAGTCACAGGAATAAAAGGTACAGCATGGGGAATATAGTCAGTGGTATTATAATGGCATTGCATGGTGACAAATGGTAGCTACACTTGTGGTGAGCATAACATAATGTATATAAACTTGTTGAATCACTATGTTGTACACCTGAAACTAATGTAACATTGTGTGTCTACTACAATCAAAAAAAAAAAAAAAAAAGTCCAAAACAGAAACCCGAAAAACTGAATTTTTATGTTGGTCTTCAGTAAGGAAGTAATATTGGCAACAAGCAGTAACGGAAGCTCAGTGATTTACATTTTTGTTATGTTATAAGCAACTCCCCCTCTCAGAGGAAAAAGAAAAAAGGAAAAGGAACACAGTAAAATTTTATAGAACTTTTGAGCTGAAAGGCACTTCTGAGACCGTATATTTAATCTCATTATTTAATAGATGAGGAAACTTACCTATAAATCATATACATATGATATGCACATATACAATACATTAACGTGTGTGTATAAATGTGTATATACCTAATGCTAGTATATATATTGAATTGCCAGTATTTGCGTGTGTGTGTGTGTGTGTGTATATCTCGTGCCAGTATATATATTGAATATAGTTGATTTGCCAGTTAATGACAAAGATGAGACTGGAATCTGGGTCTTCTAACTCCCAGTCCTTGCTTTTTACTGTATGCTGCACTTCTCTTTGTATTGAAAACAAATTAGGTTCCTTAAAATACAACTGTGTACATAACATCCATGGCTTATAAGGTAAATCTTAATTATGTTTTTCAATAGCTGAGTTATAAAAGGCTTTCATTTAAGTTGAAGTGTTGAGTTGTTAAATGATAATAGACAATCAGGATTGTGTAGGGATTGACATTTTAAAAAGAACGTATTTTAGAAGCCATATATTTAGCCACTTTGGTATTTCTTGCAAAAATTTCCTAAAGAAATTATTCAGATTTCATGTAACATGAGATTTTTGGAAAAGTGAATGTATTTTAAACATTGTAATTAATTATAGCTCTGTTTTTTGTTTTGTTTTGTTTTTTTAGGTTCTTGCCAGAAACCATATGTTGCACTTATTCATGGAATTACAATGGGTGGGGTAAGTAGGCTACCTTACTCTCATCATTGATATGTGAGTTTACTAAAAATAATCATTATTGATCAGAAGTGAGGCGATGAATGTAATATAGTAGAACTCATTGAAACAAAATCCTGTTTGGATTTCGGATCCTTGCAGGTTTAGGATATAGTATTTGCTTATAACACTTTTAGACGATCTCCACCCAAAAGAATATGTTCTTAATTATGTTATATACTATTTTAGCTTCTTGAATTAGCAAGCTTTTTTAACCAACAGAATGGATTGAGTTTTCTGTTGCTGTTGTTACATAGAGCCCTTTTTCTACTTAAAAGTAAACTGATTGCTTCCAAAAGCTTCAGAAAAGAAACTGGAATGTTAAGGGATTCTTAGACTGAGTCTTGGGGATGTGTTTGCCTAAATTGTATCTATTACACAAAATCTCACCTTAGTGAAAGTATCTGGATACTTTATGAAGTTCTCTGAAAATGCATTTCTTATTAATTGACAAAGTATTTTATTTCTGTGTAATTTCAAAGAAGTGTTAAATGTTTCTGGCCTTGAATAACTTGATGTAGAGTTGGAAAAACATGAAATAATAATAGAAAAGGGGAAAATTATATGACACTAGCTATACCAAAGACAAGCCTTTAAAGAAGTGAGAGGTCAGAATGGGTCTTCATGGCAGGAAAAGGTAGGATTTAGGTAGGTAGTAGGAGGCCGAAGGGAAGAATTTCAAAGATACCATGTTCAGGGTTTCAGAGATTTAGTCATTGGGAGTACAAGAAGCCCCCCTCTTTTTCTGATAGAACCAAACTAGATAAAGCCTCTTGGGCACTGGGAGTTGCTTAGATCTTGCATGTCATTTTGGGAAAGGATTCCACTAGCAGCTATGGTTAGAAAGCAGGATGAAGGGGCAACGTGTACCTCTTGGCTCGTTAACATTTACTGAACATGAGTTGATTATGCTTTCTTTGTCAAGGAAGTGTTACCATGAGGGAAATACTGAAAAAAAAAAAACCTGAAAAAATATTGCAGAAAAAGGGGAAGGAAAATAATTGAAATGTTGAAGGAAGAGCTGCCCTGTGAATGTGAAAGGAAGCAGGAAAATGAAGATAAAAACAACATTGGGCATATTTAATAACACTTAAAAAGATGTAGCTCCCATGAAATAGGAAAGACAGCCCATCAGGAGACAATAAGCTCAGATGAAAGTGCAACAGGCAACATAAGGAAGGGTGAGGGGAATAGCAAAACTGACGTTCCCCTTAGGGCAATAGATTAGAAGGAGTTGAATTTAATATTACAGATAATGAAGCTGTATCTGTGGAGGACAAACTTGAAAAGCACTAATCGTAAAAGGACAAGAATGAAAATGATGAGAAGAAACTTTTGAGGTAATTAAGGCGAAAGAAGGATACTGGGAACCCAACAAAGGAATGATATTTCATGGAAAGTAAATCTAGCACTTGGAATAAAAATAATGGCCCGATATAAAGATGACTTTCTTTAATTAAAAACAAAAAACTCTCAAACTTGTGGTATGTATAATTAAGGGAAACACACTCTTTCAGATAAAATCATTGAAAAGAGATCCACATCTAGATAAAAGCTTAGGTAAGTTTTTCTAAATTACAAGCTTTGAGGAAAAAACTGTAAGTGTTCAGGCTAGGGAGTAGGGGTGAAAGAGTGGTTAGTGAATACAAGTTATATACCAAGGAATGTAAATCAGTTCTGGTTTCAGAGTTTGTTAAGTGCCAGAAGTCAATGGATTGAGAAAGTTGTGAAATCAAGTCGTTAAGAGTTTCCTACCCAACCAAGTTGTCATTTAGTATAATTGTAAAAGAAAAATATTCTCAGAAATGAAAGGGCTTAGAAAATATGTTGCTGACATACCATTATTGAAAATATTTCAATAAATACTTGGTCTAGTTGACCAAGAGATCACTCAAGTTTAATAACACAAGACTAATTTTGATATGAAAGTATGGGTGAACTGCCCTTTTTTACTATCAGTGAGCAGAAATTCCACTTTTTCATAGGAGCCTGAGAAGAATTATTGCTCTAGCATACTACATCTGAGTGAATTGACTGCCTTTTGGCCTCCATGACATGTATCAGTTGGTACGGTGTTTGCATACATTCCTATGTATGTTTCAGTCAAGAATACTCCATTTATTTCTTCAGAGAAGAGTGCAGTAAAACATACCAAGATAATGTTGCCTTGAATGGAGGGAGTAAGGGCGATTCTGCTGCTTCTGGTCTGTTTTCTGTATTTAATGAGTGTGAATGACTTTCAAAATAAAAATGAAAATATACTTTATATCAGCCTTAATGAGAATACCACCAGAGAATTAAGTCTTAGTGCCCTAAGGCAATGGTTTTCAAGGTGTTATTTTTGCACTAGCAGTATCAGCAGCATTTAAGGATTTGTTAGAAATACACAATCTGGGGCCTTACCTCAGAGTCAGACTCTGAGGGTGGGGCCCAGCAGTCTGTTTTAACAAGCCCTCCAAGTGATTCTGGGTCATGTTAAGTGTGAAAACCATGCCACAAGGCATCCATTGTATGTAACGAATTAACTTCTCTTATATCTATCTTGTGTTTCTAGAATGGTACCAGTTATGTACCATCCTTGGGAAAATTGACAAAATAGTCAAGTCATGAGAAATCCCTCAGTGAGCAAGGTTCTTTTATGTTACATTATTATCAGCCCCCTCCCCCCCCAAAAAAAATCCAGCAACCCCCTATGTGTCTTTTCTCCCATCAGGTCTGCCCACCTACGTGCCTCACAAATACTCTTTATGTAATTCATTCTTTTTTTTTTTTTTTTTTAAAGATTTTATTTGACAGAGAGACACACAGAGAGAGGGAGCACAAGCGGGGGGAGTGGGAGAGGGAGAAGCAGGCTTCCCGCGGAGGAGGGATCCCGACGTTGGGCTCGATCCCAGGACCCTGGGATCATAACCTGAGCCGAAGGTAGACGCTTAACGACTGAGCCACCCAGGCACCCCTATATAATTCATTCTTAAAGACTGAAGTTCTAATCTATTTTTTGACAGTCTTAAATACTACTATGATTAAATGTGATTTCTTCTTCCATTGACTTCTGCATTCAATCTGTACCCCAAATTTGGCATTTATACTTTGTTACTTATTATGAAATAAGCCCAGGTATATTAGATGGTCTATAAGGGCAAAGGCTATCATGTCCTCTTTTTTTTTTTTTAACCCTTTCAACAACCAGAAATGTACAGTATGTATTTTCTTATGTAGCCTTTGAAAATGTAAAATTTACAGACTTGAAGTGAACCAGTTCTTTTTTTTTTTTTTGTAACGATATTTTGAATGTATCTTGGTTTTGAAGGCTAGCTTTTCACGTCTCATTTCAAACTCCACTTAACTAAGACTCTTAGTGAACTCTTCCTTTTGAAAATACAATCCTCTAGATACTGGCTTTCAACCTTGGCTGCATTTTAGAATCCCTTGCGAGACTTACAGATTCCATTGTCCAGGCTTTACTCACCTCACAGAACTATTAAATCAGGTACTGGAGTGGGACCAAAGTATTTTTAAAGGTCTTTGGTGATCCCAGTGTGTAGCAAAGGTTATGAACTGCTGATCTGCTAGTGATTCTTAACTATTACCTGTGGACCTTTTTCAAAATCCTGTGGGACATGGTTTTTCATGGGTTAGCTTGTATCAGAATCACTCTGAGGGCTTGTTGAAATCAGACTCCTCCAACCCTCATTTCAGTTTCGTCCATTTGAAGTGTGGTCCAAGAATTTGCATTTTTTTTTTTTTATGTTCAGTTAGCCACTGTGTAGTACATCATTATTTTCTGATGTAGTGTTCAGTGATTCATTAGTTAAGTATAACACCCAGTGCTCATCACAGCACGTGCCCTCCTCAATACCCATCACCCGAATTTGCATTTCTAACAAGTTCCCAGATGATGATGCTGGTGATAGTGGGGGTGACTCACTTTAGGAACCACTACCACAAGGTGTTGAGAACATGTAGTGTGTTACTCAAAAAGGCTTTATTTTCAGAATTGTTAGTAGAATTTTAATATTATATAAAACTATTTAATATAAATATATCTTAAATCCTAATACAGAAGTTTAGAATAAGATAGAGCAAATATGGCTTAAGGTGTACAGATAGTAATTGTTTGTTTTGATCTTGATACTGATCCATAAATTGTTTCTTATAATGTAAGAAGGAATTTTGTTAAAAAACTTGAACAGTCCAAAAGATGGCACCATAGAGCTTGTTTTTGTTTTTGTATTTTTTTTTCTTTTTACTATAGAAAAAGTTTTTTTCCATCAAGAACAAGAACAGCTTTACCATCTTTTGTTATCTATTGTGAGGAGTAAGTAGCACAGCAGTTTGTAGAAGGTATGGCTAGATTCCATTATGTTTCAGATTTCAGATTCGACCATTTACTCATTTGGTCTTTGGTAAAATAAAAATGAATGTTTCTGAGTGTTTCTTCACTTGGCTGATCAAAATTACTTGAGATTATGTCATTCCAATGTTTCTGTAAGAGATAAACAATTTTTTAATGAATAAAAATGTGAAAGAACAGTTCATTGTGTTTCTCAGAAAGATTTTTAATTCCTTTCCCCTTTATTTTTAAATATCTGAATTCATATTTTCTCAAGTTAATATATATAGAAAGACAAATGATTAAAAATCAATATTAATTTTTAGTAGATATAGAACAGAACAGTCTTTAAATTTTTACTCTGTATGTGTGGTACCACCCATATTTCCCTCTCAACTGAATTGGGTTTAAAGATATTTCAAATTTCTTTCTTCCTTCCTTTCTTCTTTTCTCCATTTCTTCTTTTCTCTTCTCCCCCAAAATGCATTTTACAACAGAGATGAGGTTAGCTCCCCCAAGCCAACTCAAAATATGAGTGTAATATGGCATTGTTGTGTGTCTCAAAGTAGTAAGATGCTGCTAGCAAAAGGTTTTGTAATCAAAATAATGGAAAATTTAAAGTTGTAAGGCA